TGTTAACATGTGCCATTTACATTCTGGTCAGCTAAATGACATGTCTGTGTGAGCTGTGAGACAGGTGACATTCAGTGTTCAGATGGGCTCATATTTTGTCCTATTACAGTATTACAAAACCTGTGAATGTGCTGCACAGGTTCTGGGCTAATGGGTTTCCACCTGCTCCAAAAGGTCACTGTGCATGATTGTCAGGTGCACCACAAAACACAGCTTTCATTATAACAGAGGAGACTGCTGCTGCCAACCGTCCAATATGGAAAAGAGCCACTTGTGTATTTGAATTTATAATATTATTTATTACGCTATTATTTACATACTGTTTTGATTGTTGATAGTTTTAGGTCATTCAGTTGTGCTTAAATTGGAGCTGTTGTGTTTCATTTCATTTCACATTCATTTCTCAACTGTGCTACCTCATTAAATATAATGACTATTTTCAATACTGGTTATTGATTAGTGGGCCTATCTGGATATTAATCTTTGGAACAACCCTAGTATCCATAGTCTTATTGTGTAACTACCTAACCCTGTAGGGTAAACTTTGCAAACCTGCTCTGTAATGCAATTTTATTCCATGTATCAGTCTTTTCACAAATAGTGCACTGTGTAACTTTTCTGCTGGGAAGTCCGCCACCTATTTATCTCCATGGAAATGTTATGGTTTTGTCTGGAAGGTTCTACAGGCAGATGGGGTCATGTTACAGCTCAGAATGTTCAGTTAGAATGCATGTTTTTCAATGGATTTTTGACCAAAGAAGTCGTACTGGGAAACATTGTAGTCAGACATCTTCACGGTGACAAACAGGTGTCAGAAACCCAACCAGAACAGAGGCATAGTGCACCATAAATACACATGGACATGCTGAAAATGAATGAAAACTGATTTGAAAACATGAATTGCAAATGGATTCACGATTGCAATGCTTGTTAGAGAAATTGCAATTAGGTGTCACCCCTCTTGTTTCAGCGACCTCGGATGAACTAGTATGAGTAATTACAGTTTGAAGTAAGTGCAGCGATTGTGTTGTGGTATTTGTGCTGACCTTAAAGCTGTGCGGAGAGGCGCACGATGGATAGATGCAGGCTGGGTTTATTTACCATCATTATTGGACACAGACAAAGTGAACAGTCAATACTCGGTGACACTATCGGACATTCCAGTCTGTCTCTGCTTACACTGGGGAAAGTTTGCTACAAATTGACTACTTTCTGTAACTAATAAATGTCTCAGAAAACCAGAACAAATATACTGCAGCTGCTACCCCTGCCGCTGCTACTATACTTTTCCTCACTTTTACCACCCATAAAGTTATCTTACTAGCACTACCATAACCACTGACACTATATTATTTTCACTTATATATATTTTTTTACTTGTAGACCAGATACTAATCAATACTAAAACAAGCATTGAAACTAGATATTCATTGGAGCAGGTATCGATACAAAAAACTCATATTCACAGGACTGAAATCAACCTTTCCAGAATAGCTCTTGGGCTGTATCAGAACAAGTGTAAGACCATGTAAACCATTGTTTCCCAAAGACTGGTTTTCAGCTCTCAGGTGGGTCGCAAGAGATTTTTTTTGGGTCACGATTGGCTTTGTCATGATCTGCATGTAGGTCTGTAATATACATTTCTGACACATGAGAATTTATGTGAATGTATGCTTATTCCTTGTGAACTGGGATTTTCTGTGCTCACAAAGATAAAGACAAAGGACAGAAACAGTCTGAATGCTGCTCCTGAAATGCGTGTTGTGCTCTCCTCCTGCACCCCGGACTGGAACACACTACAAAAAAGCAAACAGGCCCATCTAGCTCATTAAAAATGTTGGAATGTTAAGACATATTTTGTATAATTTCTAATCTTTCAGTAATTACTTTATTGACTATTTTGTTCCAATATTGCTTGTACAATTGAATGTTGAAAAGAAAAAGAAATGAGCTACATTTAATGTCCAAATAGGTGACTTATGGATACATTTTATTGCTGCTTCAATTACTGTTTTTCATTGTTTAAAACTTGAGTAATACTAATTGTTGAGAGAAACACAATCACTCAACAGTAAAATATCCAATATTCAATAATGCTCAAATCCACGTTTATTTTGTGACTTATGAATAATGTCTATTGACTTGAGGCGCGAAGATTTGTGACTTTTAAAATATGAAAAAAACACTGGGAAACACTGACATAGGCAACGGTCATGGACCACTATGGAACCTACCTGGATGACTGAGGGAGTGCACAGATACTAGACCACATGTTACTATAAAATAAAGTACTATTATATATGCTGAAAATCATGTTCTATTGTTTGAAGATTTTTTTTTTATATATATATAATCTTCGTGGTATTGTGGTATCTGTATCAACTATATCTAATACATCTAATACTAGCATCTAATACTACTACGACGACTACTACTACCATTAAAGAACTGACTTATTTAATACATACAAATCATCTGTGCTTTAGCTCTCTTGCTTCAGTTAAAATTATTGTTTACTTTCTTTCTCTTTCATTACCCGATAGTCAACATATTAACAAATACAAATTATTTTCTATTGATGTCTCTATTTCATAAATAATTAACCGAGAGCATTACTTCCTCCACAAACATGGCTTTTCCTTGACTCATTTGTCTTTTCCGTCTGTAGTGACTAATTGCAGTAAATTATTAATTCGTCAAACAAGTCTGCACTTAAAACGACACTAATTTCTTTAAATATTCAATATTTTCCTTCGACCCACGTTTGTTTTGAAGAATAAACATTGTAAAAGTGGGTCTGTGGATGTCTGGGGGGCAGTGGTGGGATCAGTGTTAATCCTGGAGCTAGTTTGTACAGATGCTACAGTCCGCTGAGTCAGACTACTTTTACGTCCAGGGGGAAGGACTAATCTCTGGACTAGATTCCTCTCCTGTTTGGCTGTCTGTCAATGGACCAAGCATCTGTCCATCTCCCACAGCTCCCCTCTTATGCCCTACACGCACTGTCCCCTGTGGCCCATTTGTTTTACTTCCTTTATGAGCTTTGCGAAGTCGGCAAGCTGTTTTTGGCCTCTTAGCAGGTTGTAGAGGAAGTGCAGAGCGGTGTAGTGCAGTTGTAAGTGTCTCTGCTGTGAGCTCAGTCTGTTTATGTTTCGCTTCAGTTTTGACTTTAGAAATGTTCCTAGTGATGGGACTTTTGGCTCTTATGGGATCTGAATCCAAATCTGGAAAAAAAAAAAAAAAAAGACTGGCTTACATTTTTTTGTATGACAGAAGCCAATGTGAGAACTAATCACTGAGTGAAATAACCAAGGCTCAGATCTGTTTCAGATGGATCAAACTGAGAGTGGATGTGTGTTTAGCCTTTGAAATGATGCATGATCTAAATAAACATACACTTTTGTGCTGATTCTTGTATTGGTTCAGAATTAGTTTGTGTAAAAATACATTAAAACCAGAAATAAAAAAGATTTTGTTCTTTTATCAAATGAGAGCTGGTTCCAACCCTTCACATGAAAAAACTGGTCAAAAGAGCTGACTTGTTCACAAATGTCACATCACAAAATGTTACACTTTTTAAAATGAAAACTGAAAAGGTGATTTATTTTCATTTTACGATTCAGTCTAGATGCTTCCTGAGTTAACTTAAATGTGGGTGGGCGATAGAAAATCATGATCACTTCTTAGCCCTAAGTACCAGATCACAATTTTGATCATGATTGATGTTTTCTTAGTATCTTTTATACAGTCTTTAAAAGGTAAACCTATCTTCTGTTTCTTGAAGTTTATTCTTCACTGTGATTGGTTACATCCACCTGTCACTCACTCAGAACATGATGAACACTGACCAGTGGGAGGAGTGGGTGGGGAAAAGTGTCTGTTTCTGAACATAGAGATGCATTACACACACACACACACACACACAAAAAAAAAACAGGAGTCACAATATGGTGAGTTAGCAACAACAACAACAACAACAACAAAAATTACCATATGGCCCCGTCCTAATGTCATTGACCAGGGATTCCCCATTTAGTTCCTCGTCCTCCTTTTATAACATGCTAATAACACTGCTATCTTTTCAATATGATTTGTTAAGGCCAATTATTTTGTCAATGTCACTCATCATAACACGAGTAAAGCTATTTTGAAGTTCAACATTTTGTGTAAATGATGTATTGATTTTCTCCAGTATATTGTACTGATGTGTTGTGAGCAGGCTGCTTTGTAGTCCTGTGCTGGAGTATGCATTAGTTTAATGTGAAGCTGCTGATGAGTGGATACGACGGTTTTGTGTTTAAACCAGAGAGTGTCCTAATGGCCCAGTGCACTTTCCACTGTAGATGTTTAACTCTTTTGCTGACCACAGTCTGGATTCTGCACTGGCCCTTTACACATACTTTTGTTTTTCAATGAAGTTTGTTAGGGGCTGTGGTGTAACGTTGTGGGCAGCCACAGTGACAATCGAGTGCATTACATAATTCACCACAGAAACAAGAAAAACAGTCAGTGTTTTGTCACTCACAGTGAATGAGCTAGATTTTATACTTTATTCCTTTTATTTAAAGGGCCTATGTTATTTTCAATTTTATGTTATATATGTGTATAGGTATCCTCCTCAGAAACATACCTAGAGTTTTGTTTTGTTTCATTCACACATGTTTAACACACAAACCCTGCATCTTCTCTCAGATGGAAATACTCTGTTCCACCTTGTGATGTCATGTGGTAATACAGGAAGTGTTCCGCTGTGTTTTTAAATTCCATAAACCTTTACTGGAATCATTTCACCTCTGGAATGTCCAATCTCTACTAAGTCAAGTATATTTAGTTCAGTAACTTTTTTATACAATTCTTCTTCTTGAAACTGAGTAGTACCCACCTCTGCCTCTGCAAAGTTCAGCAAAAAGATTGTAGTAGCACAAATTTCACAAATGCATAAACTCACTGTGACTTTTTGATAATCTGTGCTACCATTGTAAAAATCTCTTCTGTTTCAGATTTATAATGAGAAGAAGAGCCAGTTCGAGATCAAGAGGAACAACCCCAAGGACTTAGTGGAGAGAGTGGCCCGGGACATCTCCAAACTGCTCAATAGTAAGAGGAAAGCACTGGAGGTAAACACAAGATACCATTCTCTTCAACATCACCGCATACTTAAACAGTTTTATCTTCAACACCCAAACATATGTCATAAGCCATTATACTCTAGTACCAGTTTAGAGGGCTTGATGTCTGTTTCCCGAGGCGAGCTGTATAATCGTTTTTTATTGCGTGAAGGAGAAATATTTTAAAGGTTATCAATTTAATGTCCGCTATTTGCAATACAATTATGCCGACTGCCATATGCCAGCACTGGTACGATGAGTTCTAAATTAGGGTTGAGAAACTTTTAACCTTAAGTCAAGAGACAAGCGGCAACGATGAGGGCAAATGAGAAAGAATAAATACTATTATGTTTAACTTCGTATTGGAATTGGAAAGTTAGTGTATTATTTGATTGAGTACATACATTTAAAAGGCTCGCTAATTGTCCAATACTAAAAAAGACTACTACCACTTACTACTATTACCTATTACCTACTGCTACCTACTACTACTGCCTACTACCTACTACTGGCCTACTATGGCCTACTACTGACTACTACTACTACTACTACTAACTACTACAATTAACTACTACCTATGACTACTACACTACCTACTGCCTACTACTGACTACTGCTGACTACTACTGACTACTACTGACTACTACTACTACTACTACTACTGACTACTACTGACTACTACTGACTACTACTACTGACTACTACTGACTACTACTGACTACTACTACTACTATTACTACTACTACTATCTAATACTACTACTACTTACTACTGGCCACTTCGACCTACTAACTACCACTACTACTACAACTACCTGAGACAAGTATGACCACTACAACTACTAGCCTTTGTGACTACAAACATTGAACTTTACTAGTGTTCAAAAGTTTACATAATCCTAGTGTTCTTTTTTTTTTGTGTTTCACCGTTTCGTCAGTCAAACGCTATGGGTGACGTCACACTTTTTATAGTCTATGCGTTAAAGACTAAATAAAAATTAACTCTCTAAATAAAAATTATCTCCTTTGAGTCAAGCAGGTGACACCAACAGGCAAAGTTACAAGTCATATCTGTGGAGAGGTAACACCACTCATAGCATGATTTTATTAATATTAGTAAATTAAGATTGGCATTATGTACGTTTAATGCTATACTGTGCAACACTCTAGGCAACGCAATAACATCTCCATGGTAACTAGCACATGACAGACCCTCCATCCGAAAAGTTACATCGTGCGCCTTTTAAGAACCTTTAGCGGGTCAATTCATGCCTGAAAGTCCATATTTGTCATTGCATGGTGTGTACATGACGGCTTGACTGCTTAAGTGTTTGAGAGCATAAATTCTCCTTTTGCTTTTGAGGCTCCACTGTGGTTTGAATGGGGTCTTGTTGGACAGTGCAGGATTCAGCTCAAGCTCCACGGGGCACACAGCACTGTCACCTCCATCCCGAGTGGAGAAAATCACTCAGGAGGCAGTGAAATGAGGTGAAAAAAGAGACGAATGAGAATGTCTCCCTGGGGTGCAGAAAAATCAAGCAAACGATGTTCAGAAATTCATAGATTTAAAAATGTGCAGGAGCTGGAGGGAGCAGGGGGCAGAGGAGGAGGAGGGGGGAGGCAGGGAGGGGCTGGGGGATACAAAAAAGTGTTCACAAAGGCACAAAGGCAAGCATGTTTGAAATTCTTATAACAACATCAAATCTGAATAGCCTAGCAACAAGTCCATATATAGAAGTTTAAGACTATGGTCGTTACAGTAATTTTTCTTCACAAATGCACGTTCCTGTGGCAACCATTGTTTCTTGCTTTTGATATACTCTTTGTCTAAATAAAATAAATAAAAGTAAATAAAAAATAAATAACCTAGTTCAATTTTGGCTTTGACATTTTCGTTTTGTGACCACATTGTTATTTTCAGCCCAATGAACGTGTGGATATTTGATATTTGGTCCATGTCAAATTCATGCTTGCTTATTTTTTCTGCTTTTTACACATAAAATCAGCAGAAAAGGTTCCCAGGTGCCCTGCAGAGGAGATAAGAGGAGCCTCTACCTTATTTTTTATCTCTTGAATTCAGGAAAACACCTTTTACACACTTTCACTATACAATTTATAGTAAAAGCAGCTATTTATAAAGGAAAAAATGAGAATGGATCACAGTGCTGATATATTTTAAAGGCATTTTGAGGACTGTAGGGAAGCAAGCGTAAAGACAGACAATTGTACAGACATAGTGGGCGAGGCTCACAGATCTAAATTCATCACATCAACAACATGCACTATAAAAAAAATGCTTTACTTTGCATATTAGTGTATTCAATTACAGGTGGTTTTATAACTCAAAAATACCCAGAAAAACAGGCATTCTGACTGTGAGCAGGGTCGCCTCTCTGCAGATCTGACCTGTAACTTGGTCTTGTTTGGTCTCCATAGAGACATATATAAGATAGAAAGGTTTAAAGGGACAGTTCAAAATTTTGGACAAAGAGCCTTATTTCCTACTGAGCCAGAGTGTTGGAGATGTGTGGAGACACTTTTTTAATATTCCATCTAGTCCTTGTATTTGCAGAGGTTGCTGGTGCTAGGCTAGCGCATGTCAATGGCCATAGTTATCCTGCCATTAAAAACAGTCTTACCCACTCCACAAAACACCTGAAGCAAATCTATTATTACGCCAGACTGCAACACTCTGGCTCACTAGAAAATAAGGTCCTATGTCCAAAATTCTAGACTGTCCCTTTAATACCATACCGTGAAACATTCCAGTCAAAGCAATTCCATTCCATTTCCATGGAGAAAAGCATTTGACAGACCCCCACCGGAAAAGTTCCACAGTGCACTTTTAATGTCAGATGCCCTTCGTACAGCTCATTGTGTGTCTTCCTGTGACTGTATTCAATTTAGGATTATTTATTTTGAAACACTAAGCAACAAGTGATATGTTTAATTTAGATTTATAGGAGTAAAATTGTCGACAAATGCATTTTCGTATTATTCATGCCGAGGAAGTGAAACGCTGTGAGCAGATAAGGAAGTCTACTGCTAGCCACATATTGACTGTTTTAATATTCCAGCCTGGTCCTACCCCCTGTAATGGTGATTTAACTGCGACACATAGGAAAAGATGGACGCACTATTTGTAGCGAGCCCATTAAAATACTGCTTATAAAGTCTGTGGGCCTAATTTATATTACTGACACAGATTTGAAATAGTGCTTATGGTGTGGAGGGAGAGAGGTTTCACATTTAGTCTTAATACTTTGAATAATGAGGATTTACTTGGCTGTATACCTGCTCTGACTCGTACTGAATCACAATGAATCGCATCTGTAATACTAAGAAATAATTTATGACAAAATGGCAGATGTTGCGTCATTTATTTCTACAAACAAGTTTATTTCAAATGCAGTTTTATTTCTGTTTTATGATCTGATAAGCGTGCATTCCTTCTTGCCTCTGGTTTTAGCATTTAACATCACAGTAAAAATGTGTGGGTGCATAGTTAATATAGCAATTAAATGTCCCACAGTACGGCATTAAAGGGACTATATTACACTATTTTCTGATCTATGTTTATAATGTTGTTTGCTCATGAAAAACATACCTGGTGTTGTGCTTTGTTTCATTCACACATGTTTAACACAAACCCTGCAGATTTAGGATGAGTTCTTCTCTAAACAGAAAACACTTTCTTCCACCTTGTGATGTCATGTAATATAGGAAGTGCTCCACTGTGTTTTTAACTCCATACACCTTCACTAGAATAATTTTGATAATTTCAGCCCTGGAACTGCTGATCTTTTCTGAACTAAAACTAAAAGGTAGCTGTTAACACAAGGTAGAACAGAGGATTTTGAGCTTTGGTGATGTAGGCAGACTAAAAATAAAGGATTACTTAAAAATGTGTGAATGAAACAAAACATGACTCCAGGTATGTTTTTAATGATGCAACAGCATTATTACATGCTCACAAAAGTAAATGTTGCATAATATAGGACCTTACAGTAGAACATAACTATAACATAACTACTTTGCATTTGTGCAATTACAGGCACTCTCATGGATTCAAAATATTATCTTGAAAAACATGCATTGTTACTGTGGGCAGCACCTCTCCACAGATATGACTGGACCTAATGGATATCCCAGAAGTTGTAGATCGCGCACTGGCCAATCAGTGAAGAGCTGTGAAGCCATGACGTCAAACTCAAGTGCCTGTCTGGGTCCCTTTTGTAGTACAGCACAACAGTAAACAAAGCGGTCGAGCCATACATTCTGTGTTGGCAACGATTCCCACAATCGAGGATTTAAAGCTGGAACAAAGAAAATGTTTGGTGAATTTTACCAAGGGGAAAGATGTTATTGCCCTTCTTCCTATGGAATGTGGCGTATTACATACGTCATGACCAAGATTGGTTAAATAAAAAAAGTACCTGCCTACTGTTGAGCAAACAAATCTTAATGCTGCAAGGTCACATGGTTTCCACGAAGTGAAACCGGCTGATGAATCAGACTAACTGCTTGTCTCCATGGAGATAGAAGAGTGATGCTAAAAAAAAGTTAAATGCTGTACGATGGACCATTTAAGTCAAAGCAATAACATCATAAACAAACAAGCACTTGGGGGACCCTTCACTGGAAAAAGTGTGGAACTTTAAGCTTACAGTGATGGCATTTCATAATATGGGTGGACTGAAACATTGCCAAGACAAGATCTATATGTCCTTATGAAGTATAGTGCTATAAATGTGATTGGTTCTGCTTGTATCATGGTAAATTGTAAGCTTTAAATTGCTACTTCTTTTGGCTCCTGTGTTGTAGTGGAAGGATTTGCTGTAGTGTAGATCTGCAGAGGACCAGGTCAAGTGAACATGCATATTCAAGTGCTGGAGTAACTCAAAGACCATCACTCTGAGTAGACTCAAAAGACTTAAGATAGCAGTGACAGGAAATGTGTTATTTTATGTATTTTTGGAGATATGTCTGTAAAAGTAACAGAAAAATAAT